TCTGTATGAAATGTCACTTTTTTAAGGATTGCACTTGAATTTCAGAAATGTTTACTATGAAGCTTGGACCTAATATTTTTGGATTGATATTCTATCATATATTTTGTTTTTGGGTTTTTATAGACTAGTAACTTTGCCACATATTGTGGCTCACTGGTTAGACTAGTACATCCGTACATCAGACTAGTACAAGTGATCTGGGTGGCTGTACACTTGCAGTTGCAGCAGCCAGCCGTGACTGATGTCATTTACTAGGAAGCCAGCAGTTTTAGCAACCAATGACTAAAGCAAGAGAGGGTCTGCACTGGGTTATGGCTGCCGATAGAAACACTTGCCTTGGATGCAAGTTTATCCACTATCATCCAGCCTTAACCCACAGGTCTGCGATCACAGTCCAGACAGCACCGACACTCACGCCATGTTTGGGCCACAGTCTACCAATCAGTGATGGCTGGAATACTGTATTGAACTGGGTGAGCAATAAGCATTAGACTTATATATCCAATTCTTTTATGCTTCAATTTTATTTTGTGCTGGCAGCTTCCATTTTCACTTGAGGGACAAAAGCACAAAACGTATTCTTTAGTGTGGATTATTATTGATCTCATTTTTGAAATGTGGTTGAATGTAGAATAGAGAGGTTTCATTACAATAGTGACCTATAGATGAGAAGGCAGTGATCAACCCACCTATACCTTTCTATAAACAAAGCTTCAGTAGTGGGAAGCTTAAGCTGGTAAATCATACATTTCTAGAATGCATTTCAGATAGTTTCAGGATGACAAGGAGACTTACATTCAACTTTTACAGTAATTTGTTGTACAGTGGTCAACCCCCCTCTGAGCTGTACAATGCATGACAATGGAGACTTGTTCTGTTCCTTCCTCGCAGTGAAGGTGATGGTAGAGGAGTGGGTCCTTGTGTCATTTCTATGATTTGTAACCTGGTTGTCCACTTTTCTGTTCTGGATATTTCCTTCCCAAGTGATTTGGGGTTTTATCCTCTTACATCTTCCAGGAGCTGTGCAGGTCAATGTCACCTCCTCCCCATCAAGCCAGCTCTTTATGGGGGAGATCTCAGGTTTATCTATTAGATCTGCAAGGATAACACACAGAAAACTCCTGGAATGTTAACAATCATAAAATGCTGACATGCAATGTACTAAAGCCCAAATGACTCCTCATGTTTTGAGGTGATGCAGTCAGGGTGCATATACCATGTATAATATGTTGATTTTTGTATGCTTGTTTTTAGTTGCTAAATTTTGCTGCAATGATTTATATTCCCCATTCTGGCAGCATGTTTAAGAGTGTGACCGATGCAAGCAGGAAGAACCAAGGAGCAACCAATATCTCCAGTGGTCCAACAAACCCCCCCCCCCCCCCCC